CGTCAAAATCTTAATTAGCAGAGTTTCTCTCTGGCTTTTCTTTAATTACTTCAAACCTTATGGTAAGAAATATTCAGGCTTGGACTGAGAACAGATGAACAGACTGGTGAGTAACACAAAACCCAGTCCCCAAATTTAAATTTGTACCGTAGGGGTGTTCGGGGTTTTCCATTTATCCCCTGGCCAGCGTGAAAAAATCTGCAGGATTTGTACTTTTAAGAAACAAGGTTAAAAAATTCTCCATTACCTATTGTGTCATTACAGCAGGACTTTGTGTCACAGCTGGATTTGCCATCCTTTGTCAGAGCTGAGCAACCTGGGATAGTGGAAGGTGTCCCTGCTCAGGGCAGGGGTTGGAACTGTATGATCTTTAAGGTCCTGTCTGACCCAAACCATCCTGTAATTCTATAATTCATGATACACCTTTAACTCTGTAGTTCTCCTGCTGATCCACTGGGAAGTGCTGGAGGACTGGAACTTGCAGAGATCAGGTAATTCTCAGTCCCAAAAGTTACACCTGAGCTGTTCAGCCATGGTCCAAACTTCCAGCAAGATCCACTGCAACCCAGGAGACAGACACAGGCCCAACACTGAGAGAAATTCAGGGAACAAAAAACAAGTTCTATATTCTACACAGAGGTAATCACAGAATCATGGAATGGTTTAGGTTGGAAGGGACCTTAAAAATCATCCAGTTCCAACTCCCTGCCATGGGCAGGGACACCTTCCACTAGCCCAGGTTGATCCAACCTGGCCTTGGACACTTCCAGGGTGTGGACTCCTGGTCAACTCTGAGATATTTGAGTGCTGCATATTTAAAATCCACAAGAGCCTCTTCCATTACATTTTTAGTTTAGGAATTAAGTTCATGTAATGCTCTGCTACTCCCAACAAGAGAAATGTAACTGCTCAAAAGTTCTGAGAATTTAAAGTCTCCTCTGAGACACTGGAACTCCACAGATCCACAGAATGGTTTGGTTGGAAGGGACCTCAAAGATCATCTTGTTCCAACCCCCCCACGCTACCAGAAACTCAAGTATCTTCCAAAAACTAAAGCAAGGGGAACTCATCCAATTTTATTTCAGAAGTAGGAAGGAGTGTCCTGCATCCCTGGGATGTTCTGGGCAGAAACTGCTTAAATAACTTCATAAAGAATTATTGAATTTTTGCTGTTTCAGCTCAGCACAAAAAATGTGCCTCCCAATAGCTGGGAGGACACAGCTCTGGGGCATGAATTTCATTCTTTGTTCTACTAAAGACTTCCTTTGTGAAGTCATTTGACTTTTTGCTGCCTTCCTTGTACAAGTCCAGTCCCACCTTCCAGTGCCAGCATGAGCACAAACTCACCTGCAAGATGCCCAAGCAGCAGGATCAGGGACCCAATTTCTCATTAAAAAAAAACAACAACAAACCCAAAACAAATGAAAAGTAAAAACCCAAAGGCACAATGACAACATAAGAATAATTCCCATCCTTTAATGCAGCACAAAGCACTTGCAGCAGTGATTCCACATGGGACACCACGTGGAACATCCTCCTCAGCTCCACTGCCACGCAGGGCAGACACTGTTTATATGCCTATAAATTAATATCATAATGAATTAATACTCAAAACAGTGGGATCTAACAAAAAACTGAGTGGTGACTCTGGAATTCTGCCTCTAATCCTGCTCCCAGGAAGGTGCATCACATCCCACAGCTCTCACAGCACAATCCAAATAAATCCCTGCCCTGCGAAGCCCCGGAGAAGTTTAATTAATGCTGGAGTGCCCTGAGCTTCCAGGGGGAAAGAAAGAACAAGCCTGAGTTTTACAGAGGTGCTGAGCAGGTGTGGAGCCCATGGAAATTTCCTTGGGAACAGCTGCTCCACATTCCATCGTGAAACCAGCCCAGGTGTGGGATGGGACACGGGCAGAGCTGACCTTGCTCCTGTTGTTGGCCTACATTTATTTACTCATTCCTTCAGTCATTTATTCACTCACTCATTCATTTATTCATTCATTTATTTATTCGTTTATTTGGTGAAGGGTTTGGATCATGTGAAAACTAAGTCCTTTCACAGAATCAGAGAATGGTTTGGATTTTTGGATTGGAAGGGATTTTAAACTCACCTCATTCCAACCCCCTGCCATGGGCAAGGGCACCTTCCACTAGCCCAGGGTGCTCCAAGCCTCATCCAACCCAGCCTTGGACACTTCCAGGGATCCAGAGGCAGCCACAGCTTCTCTGGGCAACCTGGGCCAGGGCCTCCTTCCCATATCCCATCCATCCCTGCCCTCTAGCACTGGGAAGCCATTCCCTGTGTCCTGTCCCTCCAGGCCTTGTCCCCAGTCCCTCTCCAGCTCTCCTGGAGCCCCTTTAGGCCCTGCAAGGGGCTCTCAGCTCTCCCTGGAGCCTTCTCTTCTCCAGGTGAACCCCCCCCAGCTCTCTCTCCACAATGTTTGTCTGGAAGGAGATATTTCAGTGATGGACTTGCCCCTTTTCCCATTTTTTCTTAAATGACAACTGCCAAAGAACTTGCGTGTCCAACTTCAAGGGAAAAACACATGGCCTAAGTCTTCCTCCTCCAGTTTCAGTGGAATAAGACACAAGAATTCCATCTCTAAATGACTTGCAGCAGGTCCCTTTCCCCCGCTGAGGGATAATGTGAGCCTCTTGCACTGCACTATTTCAGCCCAAATCAAAGAGGTTAATGACAAAGCTTCCCTCTGATCTCCACACATTTTAAGGGCTATTTAAATTAAATTCTTCTTTCAAAAAAGTTAGCGTGAGCCAAACTTTTATAAACTCCTTTCTTTTCATGCATATGTTTCTTTGAAGGTCTTTTTTCAGGAAAAAAAAAAGATTCCCTAACAAAGTCACCCTCCCCCTGCTGCCAACTGAAAAATCATCCCCGTGGATAAGGCTGTTGGGAACAGAAACTGTGCAGCGTTCACAGAAGGCAGAGTGTCACGTGCCTGCTTTCCACCAACCTGATTGAACAATTAAATTGTATTTCTCTTTAAAAGGAATAAAAAAAAAAAGGTAAAATAATAAAAAAAAAAATCCAAATGCAGATCTCGCTGTGGTCTGGGATTCAGGAAGATTAATGAGCTCCTTAAAAGGGAACAGCAGCTTATAATAGAAAAGAGAGGTTACTACATCTTTAACATAAAGTTCAAAGGGAAACTTTTCTTGATGGTTTAAACTGCAAAGACCCTCAGCAAAGTCATCTCATCTATTGTCCCTGTTGACTCTTTGTCACCTATTGCATCACGTCCAAGCTCTTCCAACTCAGTCAGAAAGGGCAACAGAATCCGGGCTCCATCCACACCCATTCCCGTGTTTTGTCCTTTACTTCCTTTGTCCACAGGCTTTGTTCTTCCCAGCCACTGGAATCCTGCAAATCCTGCACAGCTCTCCTGTGGAAAAGGCTCCCAACCTCCTGCTCAGCACAAACGTTGCCTCAGGGTTTGTGCCCTGTCAATAAGGAGCTGCTCTTCCACGAAATCCGTGAGTAAGGAATTCCAAACCCAGGACAGGAGCTGCTTATGAACAAACCCTCAGTTCAGTCTGACAGCAACAACCCCAAAAATCCCCAGAAAACCTCAGCCTGGAGGAGGACACAGCCATGGGGTGAGTCAGTTCTGTTCTCTGCTCTGTTTTAAAAGCAACAGGGACAACGGGGCGTGGAGACAACCGGGAACGACAGAACGTGATGGGACACATTCCCAAGAGACCTGGAATTCTGGAGGGCTCAGAACTGTGGAGAATGACTTAAAACCCTCCTAAAAAAACTCAGAGTTCACAACACCCCCCTGAGCTGGGGGACTTCTCTCAGCTAACCCTGGGCACGTGTGACAGTTGTGAAGGTGAGAACCTGAACCTCAGGGGGTGAAGAGCTGCACGTTCAACACCTCCCAGGTGTGTGCAAGAGGTGAGATCAGAATTTAAATGGCAGGTGTCTCCACTTCACCCTGTTTTCACATCGTGGTGTGGGCGACTGTCAACTCCAGCACATCTGCACCTCAGGTTCCTCCTTCACAGTCCAGCCAGAACTATCTGAATAGTCACCACGGAATTGTTAATCCCTAATCATCGATACCAAGATCACCAAAGTGAAACTATCTGCCACAAGAACACTCTCTCTGTCTCTCCAGGCTTTTTTTCCCACACTCTGGTGGGTTTAACTTGTCACTCAGGATAAGTAATAAAGGGAGGAAGGGAATAAAAAGTCATCCAAACAATGTCTGGTAAATTATAAAACACTCTCAAATTAAAAGCCAACAGAAAATTATCATGGGCAAGAGCTCAAGGAGAAGTTCTACCCTTTGCCATCATATTTTAAGAGTATAAATTATTTTCTTGTTATGATTATCCCAGTAAGAAACTGGAATAGATGACCCAGAATTTAGTCCTGCTACAGGTTATCATGGCAACCCTAAGATATCCCCCTTGATTTTGCTGCCAAATCCAACCCTTTTGTGAAAGGAAAAACACATGGAATGATGCCCAGAGAACACCTCCCTGTGGATATAAAGCATTTTTCACAGGGAATATAAACCAGCAAGAGCAGCCCAAGTGCTCAAATTCACCTTTTGGAAACACTCTTCAAGCGCACAAAAGACAAAGAATTGGTCACTTTAGTCCATCCAACTTCAAATAAGAGCTGGCTGAGCTCAGCTCCCAGAGCAATCCAGGGGGAGTATCCCACCCAGCATGTGATGTGAGGGAATAAATGGCAGTAAGTATCCAAAGGAGCTCCAAAAATCCCAACCCAGTGCTCAGGGTGAGGTTTCCACTTCACCCACTGTCTTACGAGTATCTTTTTCAGACCTTGACCTCCAGCTGGAAACACAGAGGGAATAAAGACAAACCCTGTTGCTTCCCAACTTAATAATAAACAGAGCTTCAAACTAGTGGCAAAGCAGAAGGGGATCAATACCTGGCATGGCACGGATGGGATATTCCAGCTCCTGCAAGGGACAATTATCCAAATAACACATTTTCCCTTTCCATACCTTGCAGTTCCCCGCTCCTGCTGTACAGCTCCCTCCTCTGCTCCCTCAGGTAGGCACTCATGCTGATGGCGTGGGAGGAGGACTCAAACCTGGAATTCAACAGGAATAAATCAATCCAGCCAGCCTTAAAAGCATCCTTCAGTCAGCCCTAAACAAGATCAAAATTAATAAGATGAAAATTCTCACGGAATTAGGGACTGATCCATTATTAAGCATTTATCTTATGGCTCTAACAGTCCACAAGGACCAACCTGAGAGGCAGAGACAAATAATTCCCAACTACTGGAGCCCCATGAACAGGATTTTTGCCACTCATGGTGGAAGGGCACAGGCTGGGCACTGATCTGACCCCCTCAACGACTCCAGGACAGTTCTGGACACCACAAGTGTCCCATGGCCAAGGGCCTTGTGCCCGACCTGCCCGAACTGGGAATATTCCATGTGGCTGCTCCAGGCACTGGGAACACCAGCCCTGGGAAACAGGGACAAGGGAGCACATGGTGGGGATAAAACATCTCCCAAGGGATGAGGCACCTTCAAACAGCCCTGGTGGACACCAGACTGGGAGGGGAACTCCCTGCACAAAAACACCTGGAGGTGGTGAAGATCTGCTGCATCACTCGTCCCCTTCCCAATCCTGCTGTTAAGGAATATTGAATCAGCCTCAGTGGGACACTGGGAACAGCAGCATCACGCCAGAGAAAAGGGAAAAAAGCGTTTCACAGCTTCCCTGGTGGGCACCAGCATTGGGGTTATGACTATTAATGAGGCTTTTCTGCTTTAATTTGGATTGTGTGAGGATTATTGCAACTGAACCAATAATGATTTATCAAAATACAACAAACTCTTCAGACTTTAATTAAATGAGCAGTAAATTCTTGTCTCTGTATTTACAACATTCTCCCTCTTGGCCCCAATGAGATATTCAGTGTATCATTATCCCCACGGCCCAGAGATCTTCTCCAGGCATCAAAACCACATCTCACCCCTTTTTCCCCCCACAGACATCCAGTTTCTCTCCCCTATTTCCTCTCGTCTGCCATTTCCTAAATCTCCACGTTCCTATTTCCACTTAAATCCTCTACCCTTGTGCCTCCTTTCCCGTGCAGATCCTCCCACAAAGATGTCAAAAATATGTTAGTTTTACCCAGAATTACAGGTAATTTTGCAAGTCTACAATTCCCTCCTTTCCTATCCCAACCCCAATTTACACCTTGCAAATCAAGCATGTGCTTGGCTACCTTTGGGAAGAGAAGAAAAGCCACATTTATGATGGCACAAAACATCCAAAATTCTCAAAATACCCTTTATCTGAAGCTTTTTTTTTTTCCCCAAGCCAATGTTACAACTAAATAAATCCTGATTTATTTTTTTTATTACACCCATTTTAAAGACAAGGAAAAAAACGATTCTGAGTCTCTTCCAAACACCAGCTACTGATTTCCAGACAGCAGGACACAACTGAGGAGTTCTTCTTCCTGCTATTTCCAGAAGACACAACTGGCAGAAGTGTTTAATATTAAATAAATATTATTTAATATTAACTAGTATTAATATAGTATATGTTTTTATTATATTATATATAAAATACACATATTATATTATATTATATATTTTTATTATGTTATATTATTATAGAAATAATATGTTAAATAGTATGATTCTTTAAGATTAATTAAATATTAATTAATATTGACTAAATCAGCTCCCAGCTGTCACAGGACATGGCACAAACATCCGTGAGTAAAACATGAGGTGGAGCCCTGCCCTGAGAGATCCCTGAGGCCAGGAATTCAATGCAGATATTCTGATGACAAGTGGAAGGCTCTGATTTGGACAGAGCTGATGGAAAGGCAAGGAAAAAAACCTGGAAGGCTGGCAGGGAAAGCACTGGAGATGGGAGAGGAGACAAGGATAACGCTCCATCAAACGCTCACAAACCTCAGCGGGCCGAGAAATTCCATTTCAAGGGAGATTTCCCCAGATCTGGTGACAGCTGACAGGGAACCAAACAAGAGAGCCCAGGAAGTGCTGCTGTCACTGCAGGGATGGTGACAGGACCAGCAGCGAGGGATGTGCTGCTCCCACAGGTTATTCACCTGCACTTGAGACAACTACACCCACCCTCCCTCCCTGCTGAGAAATTAATGCACAGCCTGAACGTGCTGCAGTGAAACAGGGAGTTTTACTCCTCAAATAAATGTAAACCCAAGAACAGACCCCGGGTGAGAGGTTGAGCTGCCCTGGTTTTGCTCCACTAAACATTTCCTGTGTCCAGCTCTGGGCCCTGAGCTCAGGAAGGCCCTGGAGGGGCTGGAGCAGGGGCAGAGAAGAGCAGCGAGGCTGGGGAAGGGACTGGAGCACAAGTGCTGTGAGGAGAGGCTGAGGGAGCTGGGGGGGCTCAGCCTGGAGAGGAGGAGGCTCAGGGGAGACCTCCTCACTCTCTGCAACTCCCTGACAGGAGGGGGGAGCTGGGGGGGGGTTGGTCTCTTCTCCCAGGCAGTGATCAGTAAGACAAGAGGACTCAGTCTTAAGCTGTGCCAGGGGAGGTTTAGGTTGGATATCAGGAAGAAATTCTTTCCATGGAGAGTGCTCAGCCATTGGAATGGGCTGCCCAGGGAGGGGGTGGATTCTCCATCCCTGGAGGTGTTTAAGGACAGACTGGATGTGGCATCAGTGCCATGGGCTGGGAACCACAGCGGGGTTGGAGCAAGGGTTGGACTGGATGATCTTGGAGGTCCTTTCCAACCCGGTCAATTCTATGATCTGCAAGTCAGGGTACATTTGAAGTGGATTTCTCAACCTGAAACAGCCCCAAAAGCATCCTTCAGTCAGCCCTAAACAAGATCAAAATTAATAAGATGAAAATTCTCACGGAATTAGGGACCAATCCATTATTAAGCATTTATCTTATGGTTCTAACGGTCCACAAGGACCAACCTGAGAGGTAGAGACAAATAAGTTAAAAGTGTTAAAAAGAGAGTGTTAAAAAAAAAGGGTGGGGGGTAATAACCAGGGATTGACAGGGGCAGGAGGTACCTCTGGAATCCTTCTAATCACAGGTTACAGGAGGGCATATCCTGTGAGGGGCAAAACCGGTGAAGAAGACTTGGATTTCTGACTGGGGCCTCAGGTATTACGAGAACACATCCCCTCAGGGCACCTGCTGCAAAATCAGCACTTTTTGGTGCTCCCCAAAATCCTCACAAGGCCAAAGAGAATGACCAGCACATGTGGGCAGTAGAAGAGGTGAAAATTCAGCACAGTTCCCCTGAATCTAAGTGTGAATCTCCTCTGCTCACCAACTCCTCCTCCTCCTCACTCCTTATTCCTGCCCAAATTCCCTCCCCCAGATCCTTCCCTTGGCCACCCAGCCTCTTTCATCCTCTCTCTTACACTCTCCTTCCTCCCAACCACTTAATTCTTTCCACCCTGAACTTTGAATTAAAGGAGTTAGTGACAGGATTAACTGCTTAGTCTATCTAGTAATTACACAGTTATCTTAATTCCCTTTGTCCGGTCCCCTTTATCGCTCTCTTTAACGGGTCCTGAATTTCCCCTGGACAAAGGGAGGCATAATGGATCACTGCAGGCTTTGCAGAAGCTTTGTAATGGGATTCCAGCCCCGAAATGAGCCCTGGGAAGAGCTAAACTCTCCAAATCCAGCGCTGAATCCGTGACAGATCTTAGCCAGGCTTCAGCTCCGGGCATTAAAAACTCC